CCCCCCCACCCCACCCCGCCCTACCCCCATCCCCCCCCCCCATCACCCTTCCTGCCCTACCTCACCGCAGGCACTCACTGTTGTACAGAAAATAGAAGGAGAACATGACCAGCACTAGGACTCAGAAGGTGGTGTTCGAGTGGCACCCTCCTTCAGCCGGGCAGTTCTGCGCTTGCAGAAATTTGGGGGGGGGGGAGGGCAGTGGCAGGTGACTCGTGTGCCCCCCACCTCTGTTTGGGGGGACAATGCCCTCCCAAACTATGCCCATGGGCATCCCCAGCCCCTCCCTACGTAGCTTCCCTGTCACTTTCTATACGGAAGCAAAGAAATCTGCAGGAGGGACATGTTTTCCGTGTGCATGCAGTGGCACAGAATTCCCCCAGGAGTAATCAGTAAGAGACAAGCTCTTTTTCTGTAGAATTTTTCTTTGCAGCTGAAAGGGGGCTTAGGAGAGAAACAAACACCACTATTGTTTCTGCTTCCATGTTCCCTAGAGAAGCATGGAAGGAATGAGTGATGGCTTATATAAAAATTATGTTTGTTATTGTACCTCCTGTACTCTGAAGGTGGAGACAAATCCCCTGAGGGTTAGAACTTATTTTGCAAATTATGTCTTACTTTTGCATAGAGGGGTTGCACACCCAAAAATATGTAGATCAAATAAGAGCATATCTTCTCATTTATTTAGCTGTATATGGTCAGTAGGACAGATAATTCAGAAATTTCAGGTGGCATTTTGCTACACTATGAACCAAAATTTATCAGAATTTTTAAAAACAAAAGGCCAAATTCTCTCTACATATCCATCTAAAGGTTATCTATAGCAGCTGGGCCACGGCTGGGGGCGGGGGCCACAGCTGGGGGCGGGGGCCACAGCTGGGGGCGGGGGCCACAGCTGGGGGCGGGGGCCACAGCTGGGGGCGGGGGCCACAGCTGGGGGCGGGGGCCATGGTCAGGGCCTGGAGCCAAGGTTGGAGCTGCAGCCAGGCCGGGCCAGGGGTTGAGGCCACAGCTGGGGGCAGATCTGGGGCTGGGAGCAGAGCCGTGGCCAGGGGCTGAGGCCACCAGGAGTGGAGCCATGGCTGGGCCAGCAGTCCTGCAGCTGTGGGTGGGGCCTGGAGTGGGCACCATGGCCACAAGCCAGGGGCCATGGCCACAAGCCAGGGGCCATGGCCGTGAGCGGAGCCGTGGCCAGAGCAGAGCTGGGCAGCGCTCCTTCCTCACCCCCCATGTGAGCATGCCCAGCCCCGTTGTGCCCCCCCGAACATTCCGCCATGCCCCGCTAGGGGGCCGCACCCAGTTTGGGGACCACTGATCTAAAAGCTTGGGATGCAAGCTTTCAAATAGCATAAAACATTCCTTTTCTGCCCTAGGTTCTCAAGAATATTGGCTGCTATAATGTCAGAAATTTAAGTCAAATAGGGTGCCAGGAGAAGCAAGATGATAATCAAAATAATCTGATTTTACAGAATGAGTGTCTATGTTCAGTATTTTTATTAGTTATCTACAGTTCAAGAACTATAGTTTTGTTTGTTTTGTTTTTTTAAGATTCACAATATCCAGTTGCCTTAATGTCCAGAAACCTCAAACTGGATCAAGGACCTCAATGTGCTAGATACTATATCTAGACCCCCAAATCCTGCGAACACTTATGCATAAAGTTAACCATGTACACAAGTTACTATTGGGGGCAGTCTGCACCAAAAAATAAAAAATGTTGTGCCAAAAAATACAAATTCTGCACACAATATTTAAAAATTCGGCAAAATTCTGCAAATTTTATTTGACAAAATAATACTACATAATCACACCTGTTTCAATTATTTTGATAATTTATTTTAAAATACCTGTCAGCAAGTATGTCTGTAAAATACAGACACACACATATATTCCCCCAGGAGTAGAGATAAAGAAACCCCTATGACAATCCAGTTCCTGTTTCTCCGCCTCCTTTCCCCTCGGAGCCCAATCGGAGGCAGACACATACAACCCTCCACCTCCCGAGCCAGCCATGTTGCCCCCCGCAGCCAACCCCACCTCTAAGACACCCAACCCCCTATCTGAGCCCAGTGGTGGAGGCTCCCTGGCCCAGATACCCACAACCCCTCCCCTCCAGAGCCCAACTGCAGAGCCCCACTGGCCCAGATACCCGCACCCCCTTGCCCCCGAGCCCAGCCACAAGGCCCCACCGGTCCAGATACCCGCACCCTCTCCCCTCTGAGCCCAGCCACGGCCCTCCCCCTTGTCCAGATACTTGAATCCCCTCCCCCCAGAGCCCGACACTTGCCCCCGCTACCCCCCAAAGCTCAACCATGCCCCCCCCCAGCCCAGACAGACACCCCCAGCCCAGGGATCCAGAGGGAGAAACAGCCTGATGCTTGGTCCTAGGCTTGCATGGAGTTTCTTGAATGCCACCGTCTCTCCCCCTCAGGGTGTGCTGGAAATTGCAGCTGCCAAGAACACTAGCTCCCTCCCACTCTCCCCAGCAGTATCTTCTACATGAGAGCTGGGCTCTGCCGGGTCCAGTGGCCCCTAGTGGCAGCCAGCAGCACTGCAGCCCATTTCTGTGGGGGGAAAGGAAATTCAGCATTGCACAGTGGCACAGAATTTCCCCAAGAGTTAAGAGTAGTTCCAATTCCACTGACTTCACTTAGATTACTAACATGTGTAAGTGCCTGCAGAATCATCGCATGTATCTGACAACCAACCATAGCTAGTAAAGCTTTTTTTTCCAACTGGTACAGTTATTTGCAGTTCCAGTAAGCTTTTCAAAGCACTGGCCCTTGACCAATGATCACCTCCACCCCCCTCTCCCAAAAGCAGCTGATCCTTGAACTGTATTACTGTAACACACTGCCACTAATCACTGGATTGGCCATTAATATAACAAGTATAAACAAACAAATTTTATATATACTACCGTATTAGTTGTAATGAAAAAGACACACACATATTGCTTTGGTCAAACAAAACAAACAATTAGCTTACTCATTGAACTTTCTTGACTATACCCTGAGAAAACCAAAACACAGTAGAACTGTACATAAACCTATAGACTATCACAGATTGTATAAACTTTATTTTACGAAAATTAAGTTTATATTAAGCAAATACACACCATTAAAAATGACACTGATGCCCTGATAGAGAAAGTGAACAAATAAATGACTCTTATAACTAATATTTTTAATATTTCAGCTTAAGATTCACATTTAAAAAAAAATGTTCACTGCACAAGGACAAGTTACAGCTTATGGGATGAGTTTGGCAAAAACATTATATTGGAAAAGTTAAACTCATACCAAAGAATGTAAATATTTTCCATTCTGACTTTAACACTACAGTATAGGAAAGTAGGTTATTTACCAAGTCTCATGAAAAACACGAAATCATCTAAACCACTCAAAATAAAAAGTACAGTAGAACATCAGAGTTATGAATACCTTGGGAAAGGAGATTGTTTGCTGGGTCATTTCACAAACTGAATCTATTTCCCCATGTTAAGTATCCTCACACCTTCTTGTCAATTGTCCGAAATGGGCCATCTTGATTATCACTACAAAAGTTTTTTTTCTCCTTCTGATAACAGCCCATCTTAATTAATTAGCCTCTTAGAGTTGGTAGGGCAACTTCCATCTTTTCATGTTCTCTATATATCTATCTCTTCTTACTATATGTTCCATTCTATGCATCAAATGAAGTGGGCTGTAGCCCACGAAAGCTTATGCTCAAATAAATGTGTTAGTCTCTAAGGTGCCACAAGTACTCCTGTTCTTTTTGAGGATACAGACTAACACGGCTGCTACTCAGAAACGTTCATAACTCTGAACAAAATGTTATGGTTGTTCTTTCAAAACTTTAGAACCGAACATTGACTTAATACAGCTTTAAAACTTTACAATGCACAAGAAAAATGCTGCTTTTAACCATCTTAATCTACATGAAACAAACACAAAAACAGTTTCCTTACTTTATCAAATCTTTAAAAAAAGAAACTTTTTTTTAGTAGTTTATGTTTAACACAGTACTGTACTGTATTCGCTCTTTTATTGGTCTCTGCTGCTACCTGATCTCATACTTCTGGTTCCAAATGAGGTGTGTGGTTGACTGGTCAGTTCGTAACTCTGAGGTTCTACTGTATTAACTTAAACGTTCCTTTAAATTAAACTACTAACATAAAACTCTTGAGAGTTATCATTTTGTCCCATATTCAGCAAGGTATTCCAGCACAAGACAGTCCTATTAAGCTAAAGGGACTACTCATATGCTTAGATTTAGGCACGTTACTGAACTGGGCCCGTCTGTTGACTTCATATAGATGATTCCTGGTTTCAGCTTTGAGCTTTCTTTTCATGATCCAAGGAAGATATACATAGAATCATAGAACAGGAAGGGACCTCAAAAGGTCATCTAGTCCAGTTCCCTGCACTCATGGCAGGACTAAGTATAACCTAGACCAGGGGTCGGCAACTTATGGCACGCATGCCAAAGGCAGCACGTGAGCTGATTTTCAGTGGCGCTGCTGGCCTGGGGTTCCGGCCGCTGACCTCGCTCAGCCCGCTGGCCTCCCTCAGCCCGCTGCCGGCCTGGATGGACAAAACCCTGGGCCAGCAGCGAGGACCCCACTGGCAGGGGCTGGCAGATGGAACCCCAGACCGGCAGCGGTTCCATCCGCCGGCCCCTGCCAGCCAGGGTCCCCGCCGCCAGCCCCACTCAGCCCGCTGCCAGTCTGGGGTTCCGTCCGCCGGCCCCTGTAAATGTAAAATATATTACTAGCATGCGAAACCTTAAATTAGAGTGAGTAAATGAAGACTTAGCACACCACTTCTGAAAGCTTGCCGACCCCTGATCTAGACCATCCCTGACAGGTGTTTGTCTAACATGTTCTTAAAAATCTCCAACCACCCTAGACAATTTATTCCAGTGCTTAACCACCCTGACAGTTAGGAAGTTTTTCCTAATGTCCAACCTAAACCTCCCTTGCTGCAATTTAAGCCCATTGCTTCTTGTCCTATCTTCAGAGGTTAAGAAAAACAATTTTTCTCCCTCCTCCTTGTAACAACCTTTTACGTACTTGAAAACTGTTATCGTGTCCCCCCTCAGTCTTCTCTTGTCCAGACTAAACAAGCCCAATTTTTTCAATCTTCCCTCATAAGTCATGTTTTCTAAATCTTTAATCGTTTTTGTCGCTCTTCTCTGGACTCTCTCCAATTTGTCCACATCCTTGCTGAAATGTGGTGCCCAGACCTGGACAAAATACTCCAATTGAGGCCTAGTCAGCACGGAGTAGAGCGGAAGAATTACTTCTTGTGTCTTGTTTACAACTCTCCTGCTAATCCGTCCCAGAAGAACGTTCTCTTTTTTGGCAACAACATTACATGGTTGACTCATATTTAGCCTGTGGTCCACTATGACCCCCAGATCTCTTTCTGCAGTATTCCTTCCTAGACAGTCATTTCCCATTTGGTATGTGTGCAACGGATTGTTCCTTCCTATATGGAGTACTTTGCATTTGTCCTTACTGAATTTCATTCTATTTACTTCAGACTATTTCTCCAGTTTGTCCAGATCATTTTGAATTTTAATCCTATCCTCCAAAGCACGTGCAACCCCACCCAGCTTGGTATTGTCCGCAAACTTTATAAGTGTGCTCTCTATTCCATTATCTAAACCATTGATGAAGATACTGAATAGAACCAGACCCAGAACTGATCCCTGTGGGACCCCACTGGTTATGCCCTTCCGGCATGACTGTGAACCACTGATAACTACTCTCTGGGAATGGTTTTCCAACCAGTTTTGCACCCACCTTATAGTGGCTCCATCTAGGTTGCATTTCCCTAGTTTGTTAATGAGAAGGTCAGGTGAAACAGTATCAAAAGCTTTACTAAAGTCAAGATATACCACGCCTACTGCTTTCCCCCATCCACAATGCTTATTCCCTGTCAAAGAAAGCTATCAGGTTGGTTTGACATGATTTGTTTTTGACAAATCCATACTGACTGCCACTTACCACCTTATTAACTTGTAGGTGTTTGCAAATCGATTGCTTAATTATTTGCTCCATTATCTTTCCGGGTACAGAAGTTAAGCTGACTAGTATGTAATTCCCCAGGTTGTTCTTATTTCCCTTTTTATAGATTGATATGACAAGAGAATTTATTTATTTACACAATTATATAATTTTGTTGTAGAGGCCTCTGTGCATATACACTTCAAATTATGTATTATAGGTCTCAGTGCATATACACTTCTAACAACATACAAAGGGCTATAACATACCCCAGAACGTTAAACATCAATGCAAAAATTAGCTGGGTTCCTAAATGCCAGTGGCCTGCTCTTTGGGGGTACTGAACACCTGCCACTCCCACTGCCTGCAAAAGAACCTGTGGGTGCTCAGCAGGGGCGGCTCTGGCTTTTTTGCCGCCCCAAGCAAAAACAAAAACAAAAAACAAAAAAAAACCAACACTTGCGGCACGGCCGGAGCCAAAGTGCAGGGGTGCCCAGGCTAGCGGGGGGGGGGGAAGAGAGAGAGAGAGAAGGGGGCAGCCAGGGCTTCAGTGGGGCGCTGTCAGCGGCCCCAACCGCTGAGCCGCCTGCCAGGAGGGCTCCTTGCCCCAGTCGGCTGGGAGGGAAGGACGGGGCTGCCCTGCCAGGCTTGCGGCAGGGCGCTCCCTTCCTCCGCCCCCTACAGGGCGGCCAGAGCGGAACAAAACAAAACAAAACAAAGCGGCCGAGCCGCCCTAGGATTGGGCCGAATGCCGCCTCGTACAATCTGCCTCCCCAAGCACGAGCTTGCTCGGCTGGTGCCTGGAGCCGGCCCTGGTGCTCAGCCAGACACCCCCCCCCTGCAGGAGCCTAAACACCCACAGAGCCTTGGGAACGTGGCTCAAATCGCGCCCAAGGCAGAGCCTGGCCCTGGGCTCGGGAGGAGCAGCCCCACGCGGCTTGGTTCCCAAGACACCCACAGACACACACGCCCCACGCGCGCGCACCAATCCGCCCTCCCCCCACCCCGAGCGGCCCGGGCTCTCCCAGGGACCTTTGCTGGGACCGGCGCTTTCAGCAGAGCCGCGTGCAGGGCCCCGGCCCCCCTCCCCAGGCGGCGCCCGGATGCAATGAGCCGCCACGGGCTGGCGGAGCGGTCCTGCCCCTCAGTGACAGCGCCAGGCCCCGCCATTCCCGCCCGCGGGCCGCTGCCCGATGTGCCGAGCCGGGGGCTCTAGGCCCGTGGGGTGCGGGGGGGGGTGAAATGGCGGCGCGCGGGGACTCACCCGAGCACACGGCGCCCAGCAGCACCCAGGTCCCCAGCGCCCACATAGTTGCGTCCGCGAGGCGCTACTCGGTCCGCCGCGATGGGAACCGCGCTAGCCAGGGAGCCGCCCGAGCTGACGCGCTTCCGCAGCCAACAGGGCGGGGCCAGCGGATTTCGCTTTCGGTTACCCGGGGCGGGGGAGGGAGGAATCCCAGCGCGGACGTTAGCGGGAGCGGTTGGAATCCCAGCACGAGGGCGCGGATAGGGGCGGGGGATGAGGGGATCCCAGCACGAGGGCGCGGGTGGGGACAGGGAGAGGGGTTGGGATCCCAGTGCGAGGGGTCTCTTGGGGGTGTCAGGGTGAGTCCTGCGCAGTTTCATGTCTTTTGTAGGATCCTGGTCTCTGTCCCGGCTCCCGGACCCTGTGGGGAGACACTGTCAAACTTGCAATACACTGTATTGCCAACCCCAAGAGTTACAAACTCATGAATCAGCCCCCTCCAAAGAGAATGGCTTAAAATCACAAATAAAAATTCACTTGGGGATCTTTTTATTTGGCATCTGGTGTTTGAGGTCTTCAACTGAACTTGGGGCACATTTTCTAGCTTTTCTCCACATACTGTGAGACCTAAAATCTTCCTTTTTCTTAAAAAAATGAAGACTGGGATTCTCATAACATGTACCAACAACGCAAGCATAGTCTACTAAGGCTATGTATACACTACGCACCTTTTAGCGACACAGCTGTGCCACTACAGCCGTGCCACTAAAAGGTGCGCAGTGTAGCCGCTCGTTGTAGCCGAGCTCTCACCCGCCAACAAAAAAAATCCATCCCCAACAAGAGGCAATAGCTTTGTTGGCGGGAGACAAAGCACTGTTCACACTGATGCTGTTCGTCGGTAAAACTTTTGTCTTTCAGGGGTGTGTGTTATCCTTGCTCCTTATCCTATTCCTTCATTCTCTGAATGCCCTCTCCTCCACCTCCACCTCGCCTCAGCCCTGCAAAGCCTGTAAGACATCCCCTGTAGCTTGCAAACTCTGCAGGGACTCCTGTCACGGAGTAATTCACAATGTTTTAAAACTAGAGGGTCACACTCTTTGTTGCTCATGCGGGCCGATCTGTTTATGTGTTATCCAACTTTTTAAGTGCAAATGGAGGCCTGGCTGGGGAGGAACTTGTCAGAGCGGGTGGTGAGGGGCCTGGTTGAAGGCTAGCCTCAATGACTGTCAGGGGCCCAGCAAGAGTGCAGGAAAGAGGATGCAAGGGCCTTGGTTGGTAAGGGAGCTGCCTGCAGTGGGATGGGAGGGGCAAGAGACCCAACTGGGTGTACAGCTCACCCCACATAAGCAGTGAAGTGCGTGGCCCTCTAATAAGTGAATAGGCAGCACCAGAGAGCAACAGGGAACTTTCTCTGCCTGCAGTACTCTGCAGGCCAGATAGTGGAAATTGGGCTTTTTCCTGTATTCTGATTATTACCAAAATCAATAAGCTTCTGCCCATTGATACCTAGAACATTCCCTGATATGCTGGAATTGATTGGCTGCAGTTTTCAAAAGTAATTGTGCTGCATATACACAGATGCCACAGAGTTGAGAGTAGGGCCTCACTTTACTCTGCCCACTAATTAAATACCTTAAGTGGTAAACTTTATTAAATTGGACTTAAGGTTGTAAAAAGGGAGTGGAACTTAGCCTGGAAAATCATCCTGCAAAAAAAATTAGGAAGTATTGAATGGTGGAGCTAAATTCATCCAAGAAGACTTAACTCTGTCCATGTCACCTCCCACAAGACAATTAAAAAACAGGAGAGAAAGAACGCGATCTTCAAACATCACTCAACATCATAACCAATCCTACCTTCTTTAGGATAATACACAGTTGTCAGTAAAACAAATGCTCTGTCAGTGGCCTGCTGGGTGACCTTGGGCAAGTCACTTCACTACCCTGTGCCTCAGTTTCCCCATCTGTAAAAGGGGGATGATGCTAGTAACCTCTTTGTAAAGCACTTTGAGATCTACTAATGAAATGTGTTATTGAAGAGTTAGATATTATTTTTATTATTAATAATATTATTTTATTTTGATTATTGTGGTTTATTTGATGTCTCTTCACCAAAAGTGACCACATTCCGGACTATTTTTTAAGACAATTCCCTCCAAAATTATATGCCATTTCCAGTCTAAAACATGTTCTGTCCTGGGCACAGAGAGCTGCAGACTGGAGTTCTGGGACAATATCAGATTTGTGTACAGTTGTATAGTATGCTGCCAATGAGACAAAACTGTGTGCACACTCTCTTTCTGCTGCAGAGTCCAGAGGGGTACAGCTGCAACACACCCACTCATCCCTGTTGCCAAGGCAACATATATAGCACACCCACACCCTGTTGCAAAGGCAGCATATATAGTACACCCAAAACCCTGCCGCCAATGCAACCATATAGAGCACACACTCTTTTAGCTGCCAGGAGGCCTGTTATTGCCTATGGGAGAGATCCATGCCCTTAGTGTCAGGTGTTTATCTGTAAACTATAATAGTAGTCTGTGTTGCTGAATCCCAAGGATGATGCTGTGTGTACAGCTTCACTGTGCCATTAAGCTGGGTGTGGATCTGCAGCATGCACTACTGCTACTCTGCACCAGAAGTCTGCAATACTCTTCCCCCCCTTCTAAGTTCTTGGAGCTGGGTATGCAGCACCCTCCTTTTCTGTTTCCGGTGCATGTAGTTCCTACCACTGAAATGATCTACCGCTGTGCTGTCAAGCGAACTGCTTGTTGCCAACAAGACTGTGTGCCTTTTACCAAGTCCTCTTCCATCATCAAGGCACTGCATGCTAGTGTGACCACTGTCTACCCTTGCTGTCATGGGATACCATGTGCTTATGCTCATTTGGTTCCTGAGGCCCCTGGGGCACATGCAGCAGCAGTTCTCAAATGTGGAGACAGAACTGCGCTGTCTATCATTTACATATTTAATGCACGGTTTTATTATAATGGATAAACATACACTTTTACAACCATACATGGGTATGTTATATATACCCTGCCTAGGAGGCACAGTAACTTTCAATAGGCTATCTACTTTACTCTCTAGTATAGCTACCAATAGGCACTGATCTGCAATTTCAGATTCTTATTCCCTAGAGTGAAGCTGACTATTATATGTGGTCACGTTGGAAATGGGTGGAGATAAGTGTCACAGACACAGAGAACTGTAAAGGAGGCAGCTGACTGCTGTAGCTGGCAGGAAAATTCAGAAGAGTAGCATAAATAGGCCTACATGCCTGAAGCCTCTTCATAGGCTACCCGCAATAACAATTTGTCAGACTGACAGGGTGCGAGTGCCATTTCCTTCAGCGACAAGAGAGCAGCCAGACCTCCATCTGTACACTTGGCATCTCCACAATACATTAATCATAAACACTGTCCATTAGTATAACACTCACATTAACAGCCCCATGTACAGAAGCCATGGCACAGCATTATAATAATAAATAATATTTTGCACTCATCTGTAAACCTCATTGTCCTTTACAAAAGTGGATATTGTTAGCTCCACTTTATTGATTGGGAATCGGAGGCACAGAGAAGTTAAATAATTTGATTAAAGATACATAATGAGCCAATAGCAGAGCTAGGAACAGAATCCAGCTCACCTGATTTCCAGTCTTATGAGCTAACCACTGTCCAAGTCCTGGGGGTATAGCCTAGCTATGTGACTATGCATCACAGCTCTATAGATTGTGACTTTTGTTTAGTGGAAAACTCAATCCTGCATCTTTATTATTGCTCTTGTCAAGACTGCTTCCCCACTCTGAACTTTAGGGTACAAATGTGGGGGCCTGCATGAAAACTTCTATGCTTAACTACCAGCTTAGATCTGGTCCGCTGCCACCATTCCCAAGTGGATTCCCTTCCCTGGGAAGCCTTGAGAAACTCTTCACCAATTCCCTGGTGAATACAGATCCAAACCCCTTGGATCTTAAAACAAGGAAAAAATCAATCAGGTTCTTAAAAAGAATACTTTTAATTAAAGAAAAAAGGTAAAAATCATCTCTGTAAAATCAGTATGGAAAATAACTTTACAGGGTAATCAAACTTAAAGAGCTCAGAGGACCCCCCTCTAGCCTCAGGTTCAAAGTACAGCAAACAGAGATAAACACTCTAGTAAAAGGTACATTTACAAGTTGAGAAAACAAAGTAAAAACTAACACGCTTTGCCTGGCTGTTTACTTACAAGTTTGAAATATGAGAGACTTGTTTAGAAAGATGTGGAGGACCTGGATTAATGTCTGGTCCCTCTCAGTCCCAAGAGCGAACGAACTCCCAAACAAAGAGCACAAACAAAAGCCTTTCCCCCCCCCCCCCCCGCAAGATTTGAAAGTATCTTGTCCCCT